TTTAATTAATTAATTAATTCTATTAATTCTAATCGTTACTCCACTATAAACTTGGAATTGCACTCTCGAAATTATAGACATTAATTACTTCTAAACTGTGAAGTGTCCATTTGATATAGTCATTACATATAGATTAATCCTCCATAAATAATTCATAATTAGAGTCAGGTAGAATCCGTTAACCTCTCTAATTACATTTTTATCCTTGAGTACCATTGATTCTCTAATGGATAGTGATTCATAAAACACATTCATGAACCAGAGCGCTCTTACTAATCCAAGTACCGAATCAACACTCAAGAGAATTATTTATCTGCTTCTTTCTCAAGAAGGAATGGATTCCATCTCGTATAATAACATTCCCAGCTACCTATTTCATTATGTCTCCAAAATACAAGGAATAGGATTCAGGGTCTCGGAATCCATACCGAGTAAATCAAAAGACATAAATCCATAAATAGGAGTTTGTTAAGAACTCAGGATTAAGATCATCCTATATATGACCATCGGTAGACTCAATTAGAATTTCTATGCTTAACGGAAATTATTAGAAATTCATATTGTGTCTGCGTCCATGTTCCACATAATCTCATTATGCGAAATACACTCATTCAATATCTCGCCATATTAACAGTGCGGATAACACCGTTCCATTCTAAATGGGAATGACATGTATTAATAATGTTTTAATTAAAGATTCCGAACTTTAATTAAATTCATTATGAACAATTACTTTTGATTATATCCTTAAACATTATCCTCTCGTATACAACACTTATATACCATGTTTAAGGTTACATAAATAATCAAGGAATTTTATTTGATATTCATAAATATATGCACATAAAATGATGAATAAACTCTTTTATTAAATAAATAATAAATATCCTTTTACATCTCATGCTTCTAGGACACTATTCCCAACATTTATGCCATAGGTAAGAAAATTGTATATACATTTAGTTCAGGTTATATTCAATCGTTGGAGAGAATATATACCATGAGTAATTGAAACAAAATATGGCAATATACATGACTACCAGCTATATTATCAAGGACTTTATGCCATAGGTAAGACAGAACAGTATATCTTAGATTAGTAATAAGTAATTGAAACAAAATCCATTTGTTGTCAATACTATGTACCATAAGTAATTGAATAAAATCCAGCAATATACATGGCTACCAACCACATTATTAAAGAGTTTATGAAAATAACATATATTGGCATAACTCTGAAATAATAAGGGCAACATCAATGATAGCCATATCTGTAATAACAATTATTCAGCACATGTTAATAACAAATGCCATATAACATCATCATAACCTGAAAAGAATAAAATGTTTGAATATAAAAAACCGAATTTTTGATAAATAAAGGCATTTGGTTGTAACAAACTTTAAAACACTGTGTAAATATCAAATCTCAGTTAATAAATTAAGAATAACAGTAAATTATCAAAAATACAATGAAGAAAAAAAAGAGTGAACAACAGAGGAAACAAACGGATATGTACAAAATAGTATCATAGACAAAATCAGATTTTATAAATACAAATCTATAATAAAACTAAAACAAAAGACAAATTAAAATATATCGGCATAAGTCCAAAATAATAAGGGCAACATCAATGATAGCCATATTTGTAGTAACATTTACCCGGCACATATTAACAACAAATGAAATATAACATCATCATAACTAGGAGAGAATAAAATATTTTGATATCAAAAAATGGATTTTTGATAAAGATAAACGTTATATCTTAATAAGATTTAGGAAATTTTGTGAATATAAAATATCAGTTAATCAAATTAGAACAGAAATAAGTGACTGAGAGTAGAATAGAGAAGGGAAAAAGTAAAGTGCAGTATAAAACATCTCATATAACGACGAAACATAACACTATAAATTAATATTCTAGAACAAATCAACCAAATTAAATTGAAAAAATGATTACCTGATTGAACGGACCACAGGCAAAACGATAGATCAAAGAAAGCAACGAAAATTACTGAGCAGCAGGGATAAAACAAAGAAATTTAAAGAAGGTGATAAGATTAGTAAGAAATGGGTAGTATTATTATTTTCTTTAAAGGCTGAAGAAGCAGAGAGAATAGAGCGTGGTAGATAATATTAGCTGAAAAACGTAGACAAAGAAAGAGTAAAAAGGTAACGTACAATATCTATAGAGAAAGTTACCAGTGTCTTGCTTAATCTCGGATACAAATCCCTGCAAACAGAAACCAATAAAAGTAATGATTCATTAGCAACAGCCGTCACACTGCATGAAGAGCACCGCAAGATATAACCAATAAATAATAGGCAGTTATTTTTTGGTTAGATATTATACAAAACGAAAAAATTTAAAATACACGTGGCAGATGAGAAGATTAGTATAAATATTATTACATCTAAATCACGACAAATATTAGACATTTGTTCAAGTTAATATTAATAAATCAAGATATAGTATATAAAAATAGAAACAAAAAAAAATAATATGAATAAGAAAATATGAAATTACGAAAAAAAAAAATTTTCCCTCACTAATATAATAGTCGAATAACAAATAAAAAAGGAAAACAGAACAACATAAAAAATGAACATAAATCTAAAATAAATGACCCAATATCCTAAAAAAAAATTAATAAAAACATAAATCTGAAAAACATGAACGAACCCATGGAATCAAAACAAAAAAATTAAATGAAATGAAGTACGAAGGTAACAAATAATGTAATGGAACAAAAAAGTACCATGCATATACAACCAAAGGAAAAAATATATATATAAAACATTGAGAAATATATATATATACAAAAAAAAAAAGATGAAAAACGAATAAATCTTGCGAAGGGAAAAAAAGATCTAGAAGGTTGCATAAAGAAAAAATTTGAGAAACGAAGAAATTTGACGAAAAACTTAGAAAAATAGACAGATCTAAAAGGTTGCAAAAGGGAAAAAAAATAGAAAAATATAGATCCAGAAACAAAGAAAGATAAACATAGATCTAGAAGATCATAGAAACGAACGAACCCAAAAAAAAAATAATCATGTTCAATCTAGGTACGCAAGAATAAAAGCAGATCTAGATCTGGTGAAGGGGAAAAAATCTAAAAATTTGCAAAAAAAAGAACTATGAGAAACGAAGAAATCTGGCCAAATATTTAGAAAAATAGACAAATCTAAAAGGTTGCAGAAGGAAAAAAATGAAAGGAAAAAAAGTAGATCCAGAAACAAAGAAAGATAAACATAGATCTAGAAAATCATAGAAACAAACGAATCAAAAAAAAAAGGTAACCCTATTCGATCTAAATACGCAAAAAGAAAAACAGATCTAAAAGGTTGCAGAAGAAAACAAACGGAAGAAAGGGGGAAAAAAGAAAAAAAAAACCCCAATCTCATTAAAAAAAAGTTTTGAAGATTGCAGGAGCAAAGCAATGAAAAACATAAATGACAACAGAAAGAAATAATGAAAAAATGGCCGATATTAACAAACGAAAAAGAGGGGGAAAAAAACAGGCTGAATCTCGAAGAAGACAAAATGTAGAACATTACGGAAGGAAACAAATGAAGGAGAGAGAGAGAGAGACGGCTATAGAAAGAAGTGAAAGAAAGCAAATGAAAGAAAAACAAATGAAATAAACAAAAGCATCAGTAAATGACCAAAACGGTCAAAACAAATAAACGCACGGGAATCTAAAATGAAGGGCAATATCGTAATTTTACAAACAGGACATAACAGTAATTAAAATTTCATTAGAAGAAAAAAGTAAGGCTAAAACGGGAAAGACACTGTTCATTGCACTGTAGCATGAACAGTGAATCCCGTCATCTCTTTTAGTATATGTATAAAGTGTCAAAAACTATCGTAATATGTCTCATGAGTTTTTTATACATGTATTTATTTAGCTCTTAAAGAAATACCATGATATACTTTTCATATTTTTCGTATTATTACTTGCTAAAAGAAATTAGTGTACACCCCATTGAAGTGGAAGGGCTCCACCAATGTTTATGATTATGGATACAAAGTATAGTAAGGTAATAGCGGGATACAAATGAGGAGTTGACTAACATCTCTCTCCAAATATGTACAGATTAAGAGAGAATCTATACCAAACACAGGAGAAAGTCCTTTTATTCTTCTCCAATTTACTTACTAGGTTATAATTCCTTCTTTCTTTCTTATTGCCTTACCTAGGTTGGGAAGGCCATTAAGTCATTAGCAGTAGATTGAGAAAGAAAAATTCCACTTCCCCAATTTTTTATTAGCCGTACATTTCATGTGTAGGTAAAAAATGCACAAGTAATATCTTCAGTTTCTTGCTATGAACTATCAACTATGCGTCAACTGCCATAGTTTCTAGTTGATTTTCATATTCCATTCTAGCCCCGTTTGTTTCTTTTTTTCAAACCATAACTTATATGTTCACTACAGTGTTTTTTTTTATAAAAATTAAAATTCAACTACTGTGCTCTTTCATGTAAATTTATTTTTTAATTCGAGTTAAAAATTCGAACCAAGAAAATATAAACAATTACCCCTCAAAGAATTGTAATTCAACGAGTCCCACGATAAATTCCACGTTAAACCTATTTTTTACCCACCTGTGTATGCAAATTTGGATTTGAAATCATAGTAGACTTCTTTCTGCGAGAAATTTTTTTTTTTTTTCTCTCTTTTCAACAACCATTCAAACACTACTATAGCTTTATACAAATAGCCAAAGAAGAGCCTTTTTATTATTATCATTTCTTAGCACCATAAAACATACCTCCATTCACATGACATTCATAAAAAGACAGTAAAGTCCCAACTTAAAACAACAAAGCAACAAAAGTAAAAAACAAAAAAACAAAAAAAACAAAAAAAGATTGCAACTGAACCTCAATAATAGACCTTACACAAGCACTAGTATTGTCTTCCCCTTTTTCTTCCTCTATTCGATTCCCATCGTCTTCCTCTTTTCCGCAGCAAATTCATAGAGCTTCTTCTCATCAGCAAGAGACTTGGAGACACTCTCCTTCTCCTTGCAACTCTTGGCCCATTCTATGAGCTTGGGGCATTCTGCCTCAACGCTGAAGTTGCCGAATGTCTCAAGCGCGTAGAACCAGGGGTAGAATCCCACAAGCGCAATGTCCAGAAACCCAAAGCTGTCTCCCCCGAAGTACGGCTTATCTCCAAGCTCTGTCTCCAACAGCTTCAAGATGTCGATGAATTCCTTCTTCGCCGCCTCTTTCTCTTCTCCCTTCGCTGTCCAAACCTTCCCCGCTGCGTCGTACACCTGCGCTAGCTCAACGTATTTGATGCATTAGCCTAACTGTTGTTTGTAAATAACAAGTGATTATTAAGTTCTTAAACCAAAAAAAAAAAAAAAAGTTGCTCATTTTTACTTGGGCCAAGTATCAGTATAATAATACAAAGCTTTTGGGAAAACTTGCTCTCAATATTTTACTTGGAAAGAACATTCTATTTTCAAGAGTCTTTATGAAAATACTTTTCACGGTTTGAAAAGGATGAATGTAAGCACACCACCATAACATTTAAAAAAAACAAAAAAGTTTTTACTGGTATTGTTAAAACACAAATATGCATAAATCCAAAATACATCAAAAAAAAAAAAACATAAAAGCTATTTAAAAATTGAACTTTGCAAAAGATAAAGAGAATTAGACTACAAATCAACCAATTCTGATAGTCATGACTCCAACAGTCCCAAACTAAAGAAATAACAATGTTCCGTAATAGAAAACTCGATCCAAAAGTCAAAAGTACAATCAAATGTAAGTAATCCCAACAAAATACCTTGTTAAAGAAAAGTCCAAAAACAGAGGAATACAAAAAAACAAAAACAAAAACAAAAAAAAAAGCAAGCTTTTGTCTTGCTATACTAATCAATAATTCTTTTTTCTTTTCGAAAAACTCATTCAATGGTGATCTTGAAAACACAAAAATTAGTGTTTAACGCTTTTCTTTTCTTCTTCTCTTTTTTTTTTTCGCTGAATCCAAATCTATTGAAAAGACCAAATCACCAATCAAAAAGGACAAAAACCCACTGCCGATACTCGACCAATAAAACAAAATTAGGAACAATTTATTGCAATAGATCATGAAGCTCAAATAAAAGAATAAAAAATGCTTGAATTGGGTCTTATTATATTGAGAGTATTTCTAATTACTAATTAATCTTGAAATCAAAATATTGGAAAAAAAAAATGAACTAGAATAAGTGAGTACCTTCTTGTCAATGAAATCAGCCCAGAACCTAGCTTGGGCTCTCTGATAAGGATCAGAAGGAAGCAATGGAGCCTTTTCATTCCAAACCTCATCAACGTACTGAACAATTATGAGAGATTCAGAAATGGGTTTTCCATTGTGAATGAGAACTGGAATTTTCTTGTGAATTGGATTCATCTGAAGAAGAAGAGGACTCTTGTTTCTCAGATCCTCTTCTTTGTACTCATACTTGATACCCTTTTCGGCCAGGGCTATTCTGACTCTCATTCCGAACATGCTGGCCCAGAAATCGAGAAGAATCACCTCGTTCATCCTTGCAATCTTTTGTCGAACACCTGGTCGTCAAGTATAGAAACGCAGGAATGGATAGCAGATATGGAGTGAGAGATTGAGGACCATTGTCTTGTTCTATTTGTAGGTGTTTAAGTGTTTTTTTTTCCTAGGTTTGACGGTGATGATGTCATTGCTCACGCTTAGATTCTCCATAAAGGGGAATAAATCATAAGAAAGTACTGGATTTGGTCAATGCTAAATGTAAATAAGAGAAGTTGTGTGTCGTATTTGGAAATTTAAAGAAGATTTACGCCCACTCGTTTTAGTAGGACTTTCTCTTGTTTTTTAGTTTGCTTCCACAAAATTCTAGCTATCCACAAAATTTACGGGATAAAATATCTTTTTTACTACTATTTACTTTAAATGTTTTAAAACATATTATTTATTTAATTTAGTGTCATAAAAATGTTATTTACTTAATTTAATTTAGTGTTTTAAAAATGTTATTTACTTAATTTAGTTTTATAAAAATGTTGTATAGTACTTTTTTTATTTTTATTTTTTGTGCAAGTCCTTTGTCCAATTTTGGATAAGTCTAGCATTTTCTCAATCTCTTCAGTTTTGAGATTAGACTGGATTAACCTTTTTAGAGTTGTCAAACGTGCTGTGATATGGTCAACCGGGTTGTTAGCTCTCTTGCTCAACGATTCTCCATTAAGGATCTTGGCCCTTGCTTATTTCCTTGGTGTGGAAGTCATTCCGCATGAACATGGGGGATCCTTCTTTCTCAACGCCGGTACATCCTAGATCTTCTTGTTCGTACCAACATGATGGATAACAAATCAGTTTTCACCCCCCTTCCAACCAGTCCAACACTTACACTACACTCTGGCTCCGTCCTTATGGACCCAACTGAATACAGAGCCATTGTGGGTAGCCTACAGTACTTGTCTCTTACTCGGCCAGAAATTGCTTTTGCGGTAAACAAATTGTCTCAGTACATGCATCGTACAAATTTGAGTTATAACTTTATTCGAGTTCATGTTCTTTTAAGTTTAAACTCGAGTTCAAACTCGAGTTTAGGACTAAAATTTGAGTTCATGTTTTCCCTTCAACTCGAGTTCAGAAACTCGAACTCAAATTAATGAACAATATTTTTTTCTATTCTTAAAAATGCTATAACATTTTCGTTTTAATTCTTATTCAGATGATTTTTTTTTCTATATGTTGACAACGAAAAGACGAATAAAATCCGACCCATATACCCTATTAAAAATTTTTATCAGCGTTGAGTTTTTATTAAAATACTATCTAAATACAATTCATGTTTTGATTCACTCAAATACAAACTCAAAAAGATTATTATCTCAAACCATAACTCAAATGTACACAACCAAACACAAATTCAAGTTACAAGTTCAACTCAAGTTATAATTTAAATTCAACTCAAGAATTATATTTAAGTTAAACTCCAAAAGAACAAGCCTTCAATCTATTACAATTATTTTTTAGGTAGGGAAAAAGTACAGCCCTGCCATAGACCAAATAACAACCTAATTCAATTTTCTTAATGTTCCCAATACACAACAAATACCCTAAATTTAGCACCAACACTTTCAGAACTTTTTTCTTCCTTCTCAGTTTTGACTTGAGAAAGAGAGATAGAAGCTAAACGTCATCAATGACAAAGTGACATAGACTAATAAAGGTTATGAAGCAAAGTCTTACCACAAAAGAGAGTAAATTATATATAAAATAAATTGGAGTATTCTTAATTGGTAGGTATAAAATTACATTAATTAAAAATTAGAATCGATTGCCAATCTATTTTCGAAGTTAGTCAGATCTAGTAGTTTATGAGAAAGTATTTCAAGATTCTTTAACCAAATTAAAAATCAAGAGACCTATCCAATTTCATTTTTGCTTCACATTATTAATTGCTTTATAAAGAAAACTTTTATGGCAGAAAGTGTTATTTTATCCGACTAATAGAAATTGTTAATTGTTTAATTAATTTCTAATCCAATACTCATGCACATTAAAAATTTATATAATGTAACATAAAATTACTTCTACTCATAAATTATACAGAAAAATTCTTCAATCAAATCATAAAAGTTTCTCGTAAAAAAAGAATAAAAATTAAGTCCGAGTTTATTTGTGATACCCACTTTCATTGTATTTATAAGAAAAATTATGTGGTATTGTATAAAATATATCATGAGACGGGACTCAATTTTAATTGCTAGATCACCCGAAAAAATATGCGTACTTAAAATTAAATTAGAAAGTTTGCAAAGATAGTTTATATTCAAAGATAAGCCACAAACACAAACTTCTTCAATTTCCAAAATGGACCCATTCAATTTCTCTAATTTACACTTAGCACTAACAACTCCAGATGTACTTTCTTCACCTTTCCCCCTTAAAAAAAATGGAGAATCAAAACGTCTGCAATGACATCACTGTCCGACCAAATGAAAGAAATTCCACGAAAACTCTGCAAAAATCACCGAACACATTGATTATAATTGTCCATTACCTATAAATAGAACATGATAATCATCCTTTCTCTCCATAACTTTTACGCATTCTTGTTTCATTCACTTACACACGAGGTATTCGACAGAAGTTCTCAATGGCAAACGAGGTGATTCTTCTCGATTTCTGGCCCAGCATGTTCGGCATGAGGGTCAGAGTAGCCTTGGCCGAAAAGGGTATCAAGTACGAGTACAAAGAAGAGAATCTGAGCAACAAAAGCCCACTTCTTCTTCAGATGAATCCGATTCACAAGAAAATCCCAGTTCTTATTCACAACGGAAAACCCATTTCTGAATCTCTAACAATTGTTCAGTACATTGATGAGGTTTGGAATGACAAAGCTCCATTGCTTCCTTCAGATCCTTACCAGAGAGCCCAAGCCAGATTCTGGGCTGATTTCATTGATAAGAAGGTATTTATTATTGTTTTTCAATATATTTTCATTTCAGGGTCAACTTAAGGGATAACATCAATATAACCAAGCCTCCGTTCTAGCTTTTTGGATCGCCATTATTTTCATTTCGTTTTGATCTCTTGTAAAGAGGGAATTTTTGTTGGGATTACTTCCATAGTATTCTTTTGACTTTTGAATCTGTTTTCTGACATGGGAGTGTTGACTCACTACGAACAGAGTTTATTGATTTGTACTCCAATTCTGTTCTTTTTTTTTTCTTTTAAATAGCTTCTATGTTTTTTTTTTTTTTTTTTTTTTTTTTTTTTTTTTTTTTTTTTTTGTGTATTTAGGATTTATACATATTTGTCTTTTGAACAATACCACTCAAAACTTTTTTGTTTTTGTTTTTAAATGTTATGGTGGTGTGCTTACATTCTTCTTTTTCAAACTGTCAAAAGTATATTCATAAAGACTCTTGAAAATAGAATGTTCTTTCCAAGTAAAATATTGAGAGCAAGTTTTCCCAAAAGCGTTGTATTATACTGATACTTGGCCCAAGTAAAAATGAACAATTTTTTTTTTTTTTTAAAGAACTTATTAATCACTTCTTACTTACAAACAACAGTTAGGCTAATGCATCAAATACGTTGAGCTAGCGCAGGTGTACGACGCAGCGGGGAAGGTTTGGACAACGAAGGGAGAAGAGAAAGAGGCGGCCAAGAAGGAATTCCTCAATATCTTGAAGCTGTTGGAGACAGAGCTTGGAAACAAGCCGTACTTTGGGGGAGACAGCTTCGGGTTTGTGGACATCGCGCTTATTGGATTCTCATGCTGGTTCCACGCATACGAGACATTCGGCAACTTCAGCATCAAGGCCGAGTGCCCCAAGCTCATAGCGTGGGCCAAGAGGTGCAATGAGAAGGAGAGTGTCTCCAAGTCTCTTGCTGATGAGAAGAAGGTCTATGAATTTGTCGCGGAATGGAGGAAGAAGATTGGAATCGAATAGATCGGAATCGAATGGAGGAAGAAAAAGGGGAAGACAATACTAGTGCTTGTGTAAGGTCTATTATTGAGGTTCAGCTGCAATCTTCTCTTCTTATTATTATTTTTTTTGTTGCTTTGTTGTTTTAAGTTGGGACTTTACTCTTGTCTTTTATGAATGTGATGTGAATGGAGGTGTGTTTTATGGTGCTAAGAAATGATAATAATAAAAAGGCTCTTCTCTGGCTATTTGTATAACGCTGTAGTAGTGTTTGAATGGTTGTTGAAAAGAGAAAAAAAAAAAAAATCTCGCAGAAAGAAGTCTACTATGATGCAAATCCAAATTTGCATACACATGTGGGTAAAAAATAGGTTTAACGTGGAATTGATCGTGGGACTCGTTGAATTACAATTCTTTGAGGGGTAATCATTACGGTGCTGTTTATATTTTCTTAGTTCAAATTTTTAACTCGAGTTAAAAAATGAATTTGTTTATTCCAAGAGGAAGAAGTTCAAAAATTTTGGAATTTTGTAAATAAATGAATACGTAGACATTTTTAGATTGTGAGTGCTTTAAGTAGATATTCTTCTAAATAACTCTTTGTATTTGAACATTTCTCATCACGTGTGGACTGAACAATATTGGGCAATCGTATGAGTAAATTAATTAGAAAGCTGAACACTTGAATATTTGATAACAAACCTAAATTATATTAAAAACTCAGCACATGATAATACGTAAATATTTGATAACAAACTTGAATTATATTAAACACTCAATACGTGATAACAATTTAAATAGGGAAAAAACAATTGCAACAAGACCTCCCATTTTGATACCATATTAGTTTACCAATCCATCTAAAAGTTTGAGCTCTAAAGGGATGGGCCAATAATAATATATATTTCGGAAATAGTAGGAAATAGGCCAATATGAAATGCTTAAGAAAGTATATAGACCAATTTTTAGTTATAGAAATTAATAGGCCATAACTTGTCAAGTTATGGTTCATAACCAGATAAGTTATGGACAAACTTGTCAAGTTATATTTATAGCCAGACAAGTTATGGATAAAAATCGTGAATTATGGACAATAACTTGTCAAGTTATGGTTCATAACCAGACAAGTTATGAACGCAAACAGTAATTTGGCATATTTATTAACTTATGTAAATTATTGGCCTATTAATTTTAATTCATCTCAAGTCT